TTGCTAAGCGCAAGAGAGACAAATGATCGGGTGGCACCCAAATCAAACAACACCTGAACTGGAATACCGTTCACATGGAACGATCCTAAGCAAGGCACATAATATATCAAATTCACAGCGACATAACATAAAAGCATGAAAATAAGAAATCATATCCGTCACCACATCGGGTGCAGCGCGTGCCTCCTCGGCTGTCAGCTGAAATGCTCGGCTCCGAACCACTGGAGCCTCCAACTTGGCCTTCCGGCCATCCACAACCCGTGTTGTCGCTGGAGCTGGCGCCACTGCCGGCGCCGCTGCTGCTGTCAATCTAGGGCAATTGGCCTTTTTATGGCCCTTCTGATTGCAATGAAAGCAAATCAGGTTTGATATCTGAATCGCAGGAGCAGGGGCAGTGCAATCTCTGCCAAAATGCCCAACCTTGCCACACTTATAGCAGCCTGACCCCGGCCCAGTGCGACAAGCTCCCTCGTGTGACCGACCACATTTCCCACAGCGGTCTCACCCTGACTGGCCTTTCGGCCTACCATCGGATCCCTTGGGCTTCTTCCCCGAAGCCCCCGTCGTCAGCCCCTCCGCTGCCTTCCTCTTCCGGATATGCTCCAGATCAATCTCCCTCTCCCTAGCCCTGGCAATCATGGAATCCAGGATAGGGCAAGCTGAGAAACTGACATGCTCCCGGATGTCAGCTCGTAACATATCATGGTAGCGGGTCCTCCTCGTGTCCTCATCACCCGCATACTGGGGCACCAGCAATGCCCTCTCCCGGAACTTGGCGGTGATCTCCGCCACAGTCTCCGTAGTCTGTCTCACGTCCAAGAACTCCCTGGCCAGCTGCTGAAGCTCCACAGCCGGCGCAAACTCAGCTCTGAATCTGGTCACGAAATCTGACCACGTCATAGCCTCAATAACCGAGGCTCCCAGAGAGTCACCAACCGACTCCCACCAATCTCTGGCCCTGTCTCTCAAGCATCCTGCTGCATACCTCACCTTCGACCCCTCGGGGCAGAAGTTAGTCAACTGTGCAGACTCAATGTCTGCAATCCATCGTCTGGCAGCAATGGGGTCCTTCGCCCCATGGAAATCCGGCGCACCGCTCCCTTGGAAGTCCTTGAAGGACAGTGTGCGCGATCCTAACTGGCTGGCCGCCATGTCACTCCTGAACGCCCTGAGGCGATCCTCCGTCAGCTCAATGATCCCTTCCTTGATCGACCCGAAGATAACCGGCGTCGCATCAAGGATACCCCTCGTGATCTCGGACGCGATGAACTCGCGTAACCCATCATCTACATGCTCGGATCCTGCGCCCGAGCCCGATCCTGACCCAGATCCTAAACCTCCTGCTCCATTCCGCGTGACCACCATTCTGAAAATAACATACGAATGTCAGGGTCACATATATTTTCCGGAGGTCTCGCACATTTTCCAAGTTTCCAGGTTCCATCTAGGCCCTCCTTGATTCGAGTACGGGTCCTCTACTTTCAGTAGTACGGGCCCATACTACCTTCCACATCTACCCGTACTTTCCTCAAGGATTGCTTTGACTTCACCAAGTCCCTTATACCGATACCCTTTCCACTGACCTCATCCTAGGCTTCCCTAGGGCATTCTCCGACCTACCCTCCGCCATCAGCTGCACTAGGAGTCCCCACCACTTCCCCCTAACTAACTTGCGGATACTGCTACATATCCGTTCCTTAGCTAGTTGAAGATGGCCAAAACCCCCATAGCACAAAGCAAGCAGCATTCGTGCATTGGGTAACCAAATCAGGCATAACCTACACAGGCCATCCTACTGCTGACTAAACAGCCCTAGCATACAGCTCATACAACAGGCATATAAGGCATCCTCCTAGACCCTTAGCCCTAACTAGCATGCAATTCTCAGAATCATATATCAGGCACACAAGGCATCCTCCTATATCCTTAGTCCTATTCTAGCATGCAGTTTTTTGAATCAAAACCATATAGCATAACATATCAAGTATGGGTATCTTGGGGAAAACTTACTTGAGCCCGGCCGGTCGCATGCATCACACACTTCGTTTTTCTTAAAATCCTTCCATTTAGATTTTAGAAAAACCATTTTTTTTCCTTGTAAAAACCTTTTAGCCCCTCAGTTTGAGTCCAGACACCCCCGAGGGTGTGTCCGAATCCCTCAAACCAGGGCTCTGATACCAACTTGTAACGACCCAATTTTCAAGTCCAAAAATTTCTTTTTAATTAACTAACTCATAAAAACATTCATAAGGAAATACTGTGAAAACACGTCATCTCATAAAACAAAACATCATGTCTGAAAACCCAAGTCATAAAATATTACATATCAGAGTACAATCCCAGAAAACTCCATGCAGAAATCATGTGTGTGTGCGATGCGATGCTACGCCGCCGGCTCCTTCCCCTTAGACGAAGAGGTACCTGAAACCAAAACCGAAACCGTAAGCACAAAGCTTAGTGAGTTCCCCCATCATACCACATACCATACAATATCCTCGGTATCTTTCAACCGCTAATCATCGTCGGTATCTTTCAACCGGTAATCATCATCGGTATCTTTCAACCGGTAATCATCACATACCATACAATATCCTCGGTATCTTTCAACCGGTAATCATCGTCGGTATCTTTCAACCGGTAATCATCATCAGTATCTTTCAACCGGTAACTGTCATCGGTATCTTTCAACCGGTAAATGGGGACTATTCCACCCCCCCTACCACTAGCATACAACAACATGATATAAACATACAGTCAGGCATATCCGGGTACTGACCTACCCTTCGGTCCTAAGGACCGCTATCAGGGAAACCAATCCCTATCATACACGTAACATATCATACAAATAAAACTCATGACCAAAGCATGTAACCAGACCAAGATAATTATCACAAAGACAATCATCTTCTAAATACTCCTCTTTGGTGGGCCGGCATTGTGGCCTTAGACCCACCCCTACTGGAAAGTAACTCACCTCGTACGAGAAACTGTTTGATAAGCTATGCGGGAAACCTCCGTCCGCTGCTGCTCCGGAAATCCTCCGGCTACAATCCCCACAAAACACTCAGTTAGAAACTGATATCTACTCTTACGGTAAAATGACCATTTTACCCCTAACCAAGTCCAACTCAAAGTCAACTTCCAGTTGACCCGACTCGCCGAGTTGGGCCGTCAACTCGTCGAGTCCCTTCCCTTTACTCGTCCTTATCCACGACTCAACTCGTCGAGTTTGGCAACGACTCGACGAGTTCCCCTTCTTTACGAACATTAATGAACCTTCATCCGACTTGCCGAGTCGTATGAACAACTCATCGAGTTCACCTTCAACTGATGAACAAGTCCTGACCTTGACTCGCCGAGTTGTATGAACAACTCGTCGATTTCATCTTCAAACATAAGGAGATTGCCTTGGACTCGCCGAGTCTGTTCTAGTACTCGTCGAGTCCCATGAACTCCAGGTCTAAAACTAAGTCCAATGCGTTGGGTCACTCTTTCTGTCCTGCTACAACCCTTCTAACACCCATCTGAGTTCTTTTGACCCTCAACAGATATGGGACTCAAAGCCTTGGACTCGTCGAGTCCCAAGAACGGACTCGCCGAGTCGATAACATCCACACCCTAAATCCTCGATTTCTGATGTACAACACTTGACCAAATGATAGATCCAAGCCCCTAAGCTCGATCTAGCACGTAAAGTTACGAACTTTACGTGCATGCATGGGACTTTTGAGCCAAAAAGGCTCTAAAATGGCTCTAGTGTTGCATGGGGCCTTCCTTGGGTGCAAAAGCAACCCAAATCTGCCTTGTGACCCCTTTAAAGACCTGATTCCAAAGCCTCAACCCCCAACCATGTTTGCAATCTTGGTTGGTTACCAAAAATGGCTTATAAAAGCCCTAAATCTCCCCAAAAAGGGATTTATCAAATGAAAGAGCAAGGTACAGACTTTATACCTCTCAAAGACTACAAATGATGAACCAAACTCGAATCCTTCAGTTCATCTTGATCCTTCTATGCTCTTCCTTCTTCCTTGTGAACAAAACCACCAAAATCACCACAAATGCCTTAAGATCTTCACACACTCGGGCTAGGGTTTGCTATGGAGGGTTTCTGGGAGCATAAAGGGGCGATGGAGGCTGTATAAGGTTGTTTAAATAGGGTGCAAACCCTCAGATTAGGGTTTTGCCCAGACAGAGCCTACTCGTCGAGTCCGGTACTCGACTCGACGAGTCCATCACTTAAATCCCGTGTCTCATCCCGCTTCTACTCGGCGAGTTGGACCTTCAACTCGCCGAGTCCCAGGCCAAAAATGCAGAATCACTGAAATAAAATACATACCAGGAACCAGGTGCTACAGTATTTGTAGGCGAAGGCACCAATGTCGGCCCACTAGATTATGTTTGTAGGATGATAATTGTCTTTGTGACACTTACTGATATGCCTGTATGTGCTTTTTGTCTTTGTGACTCTTGCTGATATGATTGTATGCTTTATGTATATGGGGTGAAATGGACCTGTTCGGTTGAAAAAAAATATCGATTGAGTTGAAATAGACTTGATGGTGAAATAGACCCAGGGGTAAAGTAGACCCGTACAGTTGAAAAATACTGATTGAGTTGAAATAGACTCGTTATAGCTTCAAGTTGATATGTATGTATGGTATGTGGTCTTTTGGGAACTCATTAAGCTTTGTGCTTACGTTTTATGTTTGAAATGTTTTCAGGTACTTCTGGTTTCAAAAGGAAGGGACCAACTTGATCGCACTTCATCCCCTTTAGATTTATTCCACATTGACTGTTTATATTTTCACTATGATGTTTTGAGAATACTTCTACTATGACCATCGTTTGGGATAATGAATCAATAGTTTTGACTTATTTAAAATGAAAATTTTACTCGGTATTTTTAGGACACTACACATGTCAACAAATAAAACATGAATAAATATACAAGCAAAGGAAGTAGATCCAAGAAATAAGTTGATAACATATATTAGATACACATGATGACAATAATATGCAAAGAAGAGTTGGTAGGTGAAAACTGACCACCCACCTCAAATGAAGAAAAATGAGGTAGACTATCTTAATATTATTCTGCTACTCTAACTCTAACCTTTCACACTCTCATATCTCAAGTCATTTCCTATGTAAGGGCTAATTCTTTTAAGTCTAACATCACGCTATGTTCTCACTTTCCTGGCCTACTTCTCCTCCTCGTACCCTCTATTGAGATCGTTGCTACTATCTTATTTAATGGATGTTACTTATGTTGGAATTATTAGGGTTTACGTTGGAGATCTGGATACCACTTGTATCGTGTGAACACTTTTCCGAACTGATATTTCTACCCTATACCTGGGTTACAAGAAATTCAGCTTAGGATAATCCAAGAGGACACTTACAATTCTAGGCATAGAAATCATAAGCCAAATTGCTAGAAGGATTCTTTGTTTGTTTGAAGGAAAAGAGAGCTAATAATTTTTGTGTATCTCTTCTCAAAGAGAAGAGTCATTTTTATAATAAACGAGATTAGGGTTTCTCTTAGGGTTGGCTGTCATGGGTTTCTTTGGAAGCAAGTCAGGGAAATCCGGATTTTAATGTGGATTTAGGGTTTCCAAAACTAACGAATTTCGTTAGTTTTACCATAATCACTCTCAAGAATTTGAATTTCCCACGATGTTCTTATATGTAAAATTTGAAGAGTTTTTGGGGCGCTGCCCCAAACCCCACGGGGGATCTGTCCCTCAACCCCGCCCCCGAGCCAGGGGCTCTGCCCCTTGGATCCCGCTAGGGGCGCTGCCCTTAGACTCCGCCAAACCCAGGGATGCTGCCTCCGGACCCCCTGACTTGTCGTCAAACCGACTTCTAATTCGATATTATATATGTGTGTACTCCGTACAAAACTCGTACATATATTAGAGTAGAAATTATGAAGCCTCTTAGCTTACATGTTAGTTCCAATTACATAAAATGATATGGTGACACTAAAATCACCAACAACTTATCAATTAATAAAGTTTTGCTCAATCAGGAAATCATCAGCTTTAAACGATATTTATCGATATCAGACCCATTTGAGATACATGTCTATGTGTTTTTAAACATTGAAGATTAGAGTGCTTCCATTGAAAGTTTTAAAACAAATATGATGTAATAAAGTTGTTTACTCTTTATTTAAAATATCTTAATTTGAAGTTTTACTATATAAGAATCTTATTAACACAAGATTGTCAAACCAAGAACAACTATATGACTCTGTTAAAAAAGCGAAGACGTGTACGAAGATGATTTCTTGTAACCGACTTATTTTTCTAATTTTGAAGTCGAAAGTTTTCTTAGTTTGCAAGTTTTAGCTTCAAATGTGAATGTGGAAAATGAATTTGATACCTTGCCTAATTTCTCTACTCCATGTTATATAAAAAATAACCCCTTTTCTTTCGTTCGGCCTCTCAAATAAGCGGAGAAACAGAGAGAGAGGTGGAGAGCAAGGAGACACGAATTCCAACACAAAAGGTAATACTTTTTCAGATTCGATCTGACGAAATCGAACGCAACCCCTCTTTCTTTCTGATTCATTTCAGCAAAAAAGAAAAGATCCCTAGAATCTATACATCATAAGCAGTAATTAGCTTACATTTCCGTTCTGCTTTCAGGCTTTTCAGATCCCAATTCGGTAGATGTTTCCCCGACCTATTTTGCGTTTTCTTGCATGATCTTCGCTTGCTTTCGTTGAATTTGCATGTTTGCAATCTGAATGATTATTGTCATTCAAATTCATACCCTTCTTATCAGAAAGTAGATACCTTGCATATATGAATGCGTTTCAATTTCTCCGTTATTCAATACCTTCTTCCAATTCGTTATATCTTTCATATCAATGCTACTAAGAAAAACTTCCAATTTCTGTTTCTTTAACATTGCATGCAAGTTATTCACTTGACTTCCTCATCAGTTCTTGACTTCTTGTACAATTTCGATGATTTTCTTCTTTTTGCAGGATTTGTGTCTCCAATTACCACATTAAAAGAGGGATTTAAAGGCCCTAGGAGCCAAAATATGGAATTTGAGAGTAATAGTACAAATTGGGATGGGGTATACTACTACCCACATCTATTTGGTGGCATTATGTTAACAGCTGCATTGCTTGGTTTGTCAACAAGTTATTTTGGTGGCATGATGGGGTTTCCTACTTTGCCTTATATGCTACCTTACTTGAGAAACCTTCAAAAGAAAAAAGGAGGAAAGAAACGGATTAGGGTTTACATGGATGGTTGTTTTGATCTTATGCATTATGGACATGCTAATGCTTTAAGACAAGCTAAAGCTTTGGGTGATGAATTGGTGGTTGGACTTGTAAGTGATGAGGAAATCATCAAGAACAAGGGCCCACCCGTTTTATCTATGGAAGAGAGGTATAATTATAATTTAGTGTTAAATGCAAGAAACAACAAATCTACTCTCTTTAATTTGTTTATTTGTGCATCATATACTTTTGTTTCTTCCTATCACAACATTATACTTTGAAAATCTTGCTAGATTGGATAGATTTTTCAAAGTGCAATTCCTTAAAGAAAAAAAAAATTTAAGTACAATTCTATAATAGAAAGAAATGAAAGTAAATAAATGAATGTATGTTGCTATTTCTTGTTTAAGGTTGGCTCTTGTTAGTGGATTGAAATGGGTGGATGAAGTGATTTCTAATGCACCATATGAAATTACCGAAGAGTTTATGAATCGACTTTTTAATGAGCATAAGATTGATTACATCATACATGGTGATGATCCTTGCTTACTTCCTGATGGAAGTGACGCATATGCCCTTGCAAAAAAAGTTGGTAGATACAAGCAGATAAAACGTACGGAGGGCGTTTCTAGTACAGATATTGTAGGTATTACAACTAATTCATAATAGCAATTACTTTTCATTTTTTTTAGTGTTTGAGATTTCATTTTGATCCTCAAAAGGACTTACTGACTTATGGTGGTAGGAAAATGAGTTTTTAAAAAAGTGTTTGGATTAGTTTTTGTGGTGGGAAAAAGTCAAGAAGTCAATAAGTCAATAAGTTGTTTTTTTTTTAAAAGTCTGTGTCTTAGCTTAAGGGTATTTTAAGGTAAAATATTTACTTTTACAACTCAAAAAGTCATAAGGAGTTTAGAGAAGTTATAAATTCTAACTTCTTAAAATCTCCTTTTTGAAGGGTTGAGGAGAAGTTGTTTTAAAAGTCTTTTTCTTTTTACTTTTTTTGACTTATTGACTCTTTAAAAAGCCAATAAGTTGTTTTGAGATGAAATCCCAAACACCCTCTTATTTGTTGATATGGGAAATGTACTTTAATGTATTTGTGTGTGTGTGTGTGTTTTGTTCTTGTATGTAGGAAGAATATTGGCTTCTATAGAGGAGAAGAAAAGGAACTCAAGTTTCTAATGAATCATTGGAGAATGGGGAACATAACGAGATGAATAAAAGTGTGGAGAGTTTATTAAAATGTAAAAATGCTTCAAGTTTTCTTCCTACTTCAAGAAGAATTGTGCAATTTTCTAATGGAAAGGTATTATATTTTTATTCACCACTTAGTTATAAAGCTTGATAATATTCAAAAAGAACACAAGAAAAGCCTAATGCTTTGTTATAGTAACTAATTACCTAAACTACCCCTCCACTACATAGATGCCAAATAGTTTGCTGAGTTTCCCATTCTACCCCCATCTAAAAACGGGGACTTAAGTGGATGTGTAGCAAGGTGTTTCTATGTTTAAAAGATTTTAGAGAAAATGCCTAAACTACCCCTCCACTACATTGATGCTGAATAGTTTACTGAGTTTCCCATTCTACCCCCATCTAGAAATGGGGACTTAAGTGGATGTTTAGCATGGTGTTTCTATGTTTAAATTTTTTTAGAGAAAATGCCTAAACTACCCCTCCACTACATAATGCCCAATAGTTTGTTGAGTTTCCCATTCTACCCCCATCTAAAAACATGGACTTAAGTGGATGTGTAGCAAGGTGTTTCTATGAGTTACTCTGTTTCATTTTACTCATACTTGCTCTTGTGAATTTGAATATATATATTTGATAAATTCTCTAAGAAAACTATTGAATTTATTTTTTTTTTTTAATTTTTAGGGTCCTGGACCAAATGCTCGTGTGGTGTATATTGATGGAGCATTTGATCTTTTTCATGCTGGACATGTTGAGGTATTTAGAAAAAAGTTTCTCCCTTTATTAATTATTAATTATTACATTCTCATTTTTAAACACCCTACAATCCTCCATATCAAAAGACAAGTTTTTTCATTCAGAACATTTGTCAAACAGTCTTTTTCGTTCATCACAGGGTTAAAATGGTAATTTTCTGTCATTGAAAATTGTTTTCAAACATTCATGTTTTTGTCATTGAGAACGGTTGTTTGTCTTTGTCAAACAAAAAGGCTTCCCAACAAGTTTGTTTATTCAGAATGAACTGTTTGAATGTGAGTAAATGACCATTTTGCCCTTTTGGCATTAAGCATAACCAATAATTATCCATGTCTTTGCATACCTAGATTTTGAAGAGTGCTCGACAACTTGGAGACTTTTTGCTTGTGGGTATTTATACCGATCAAATTGTGAGGTAAATAGTAAATACTATACAACTTATTAAACTTTACATTTTTTTTTTTAAATTTATATTGATTATTAAATAACAAAGGATGTGTTTAATGTAGTGAACAAAGAGGAACACATTTCCCACTTATGCATTTGCATGAAAGGAGTCTTAGTGTTTTAGCATGTCGATATGTTGATGAGGTCATCATTGGTGCTCCATGGGAGATTACAAAGGACATGGTATGTAATATTGAATTTTCAAAGGTCTTTTTTTTTAGGGGATTAAATGCAAGAAATAGCAACCTACTTTTACTCATTTGTTTGTTATAGCAACCTACTTTCATTTCCTTTTATTAGAACATTCTACTTTGAAAAAAAATCTACCTAATTACAAAATGTCATTCCTCAATCCACATGTGAAACAATTTTCATTATATGATAATTGGATAGATTTTTATTAGTAATATTATAAGTGCAATGATGTAATTAAAAAAATGAAAGTAGTAATATGTTGCTATTTCTTGCATTTAGCTCTTTAATCAACTCGTATGAACTAATAATGAAATAATTGTCTTGTTTCACCAAGAAAACTTATTAGAACAAATAAGTGTCTCATTAATAGTGCAACATTTGATTGACTTAGACACATAGTTTACAAATTTTGTCCGAGTATTTACCAAATGTCTTAAATACCCTTCCGTATAATAGAGAAATTGTGATGACCCAAAAATCAAAATTTCATTTTCTACTTTCATTTCTTCCTACTACAACATTGTAATTTGAAAATTGTACCCTATTATAGCAAAATGTCATTCAAATACAAAGCAAATGTCATTTATTTTTATTTAAAAGTATAATGTCATAAGAAAAATATGCAAAAATTTCAATGTACAATGCCTTGATAAGAAAAAAAATGGAAGCAAAATGTTGTGATAGAAAGTACGTTGCTATTTCTTGCACTTACTTTTTAAAAAAAACATGATGATTTTATATTTTCTTAACTCATATGCTGCAAATTCATTGACATGACCAGATTACAACTTTCAATGTCTCATTAGTTGTGCATGGAACTGTTTGTGAGGGCAAGTCTTCTATTAATGTGAGTTTTTTTTTTTTTTTTTTTTTATATAGTTCAAAGACCTATATGATAAAAGTACATTGCTATTTCTTGCATTATAGGGCAAGTTAGATGATCCTTATTCGGTTCCCAAAAGTATAGGCATCTTCAAAATGCTTGAGAGTCCAAAAAATATCACTACAACTTCTGTGGCTCAAAGAATAAAGGCCAATCATGAGATCTATGAGGTATCTTTATATTCCAATTTCCAAATACATGTGAATTTGTATTTGTGTTCAATAAACAAGACATTCTCTTAGGATATGTTTGGCAGACTAGCTAAAAAGTTAACTGGTAGCTGAAAAGCTAGTTGACAAAAAATAACGTTTGGTAAAAACTAGTTGATAAGCTAGCTGAAAGATGTAAAATGACATAAAAAGACATTTAGAAGAATATGTTTTGTATAATTAGTTAAGGGTGTATTCGGGAAATTTTAAAAAAGCTCCTGAAAAGCTACTTTAAGTAGCCTTTTTAAAAGGAAAATCTCAGATAAAGTCCCAATATTTTGGGTCAGTTTACGGTTTAATCCGAACTTTTATTTTTTGAACAGAAATGTCGCGATTATCTATTTTTATACGATAATCTGTCATTTTCTGTCTGTTTTTGTTAATTTGGGCAAAATATAAAATAATCAGGACTTTTCTGTTCAAAAAAAGTAAAAGTTTGGATTAAACCGTAAACTAACTCAAAATATTGCGACTTTATCAGAGATTTCAATTTTAAAAAGCTACTTTTTAGCTTGCCAAACATGACAATTTAAAAAAGCTTGAAAAATAAGCTAGCTTATCAGCTAGATGTGACGTGGCAAACACAGTCTTAATGAGAGAAATACAAGATGTGAATGTTGTGTGTGATTTAGTGTGTGACTTTTGCAGAAGAGAAATGCGAAAAAGGAAGCGAGTGAGAAAAAGTTTTATGAAGAAAGAAAATATATATCGGGAGACTAATTAATGATTTAGGGTTATCATTCATATACTTTGACATAGAAGAAGGTGCTTTGAGATGAGATGTATTTGTAAGTTTTGTATTTTTGATTTATAGGATGAATGATTAGATGGTTGTTATGAATATGAACAAAAAATTGATTTAGGGTTATCATTCATATACTTTGACAAACAAGTAATGAAGTTTTTTCTTGTATTTCTGTAAATCAATTTTTTGGTGTCTATGATTGAATTTTGTAAAATTGATTTTTCTTGAATGATTCTTGTTTGTAAATGGTTGATCTTTATATGTAATCTTCTCTTTTTGGGGATTTAATGGAGTAATGAGATGTAACATTTCTGTTTAGAAAGTGTAAACGTCATCCATGGACCCACCAATTGATGTTATAGTAAATATAGGAAAAGGTAATTAAAGCAAACAAAGTCATTTTCATCTTTCATATCAAGAATCTCAATGGCTTAATGCTACAATTTCATTAATAGTAGTTGCAATGAAGAAGTCAATTATAACCCATGAAGAAATTGGAGCAATGTTATGAAAAAAATGACAAAAAAAAAAAAAAAACATAACAAGTCATAAGAATCTTCACCACTACATAATTCATAATAGTAGAGCTTTTTGGTGAAGCTTTTCATGAAAAATTTTAAATGAGAAACCTCATTATATCTCCACAATATGGGAGGGTTTTCAATTTGCTTATTTATGTGTTAGTTTGTATAAATTGTCTATTTACAACCCATTGAAAACCTATGGATTCCTCCATGACCACGAAAAATAACTCGTGAGAAGAGTTTGTAAATTTACAAACTCCTTGAAAAAGTTCCTTCAATATATTTTTTATTATCTAAGACTATTTTGGTTTGAAAAAACTCCTATTATAGATTATTATAGATGCTTTGTAGAAATAAATGTTTGCACATGAAAGCATATAGAAACATAAATTTGTCATCTCAAGGGTGTACCATAATTATACTTGGAAAAAAGTTAAAGGTTTGAGTTTTGACAACAATTATAGATTCACGGTATGAAAGTTTTAATTTCAATGTGGATTGGACTCTTTATGACCATTATCTAAGTCACCTAAGACACTTAGGAGGTATAGGGTAATTTATTGTGGATTGAGCTCCTTCACACAAGATAGAAGCAATGTACCCTACAATTTTATATTTTTATGTGTATGTATATCTCAAGAAAAATGTACGTTTTTTAATAATTGCTCATCCAAACACTAGCATATTGTTATTGTTTATCTTGGTTAGATACAATATGTCAAACAATGATGAAATTTTCACTACATTATGTACAATTTAACTCCTCTTTTTCAAAATTTACAATTAAAGTGCCTCTTTACTCTTACATAGAAAGTTAACCGTTTACTTCAAAATTGATTTATGGCAAGAAAATGACAGGTAATACATTTACTATTTATCTTAATGAGTTAATGATATGATGATCTATATAATAAAGGTTAAAGTCAACTGTCGTATCTAAGTCATCAATTTTTGTGTACGTTAAAATTATTTTAACTACAAAAATGTTCCACTCAAAGCACACGATTAACTTTCTAATGGGTTGAAATAGTATGTTTTGCTGATACGATGTCTATACAACATGTATTTTTGACTTGTAATAAAGAGGTTTAAATATTATGAGACAAAAACTTACTTTTCATTTGTCCTGCCGAGAAAGCTTTTACATACGTACTAAATCATCATACCTATAAAAAAAAAATCAGGCCACTCGTTAATTCATGGACTTATATAAGGCTATCAAGAGTATCTACCACTAAACACAAATATGGTGAATGTCACATCACTCTCACTTCATCACCACACACAACCACTAAAGGTTGGTATACCTACCACTCCACATTACTATATTCTTTTTTGTCTATTTAAATAAAAATATATATCTTTTAATTATTTACAATGTAAAAAAGAGGTAGAGATTAGAGAGAGACAGAGAGAAAGAAATTAATTGGATGTTGTCCATCATCCTCCCCACAACAAATGAGCATGACCATTAAGAACCGCTAGCCACCACTAACCATCGTGGTGGTGTTAATGTTATTGGTTGGGTGTCCAGTGGACAACAAAACCCTCTGTTGAAAATACTAAATAGCCTAACTACAAAAGACATTATTTAGATTTGAATACTAGGCCTATCTTATAGAGTTTATGTTGTGGGGCCTAACCCATATTTATATATGGTATCAATTTATTATCTGATATTTGTATATTGTCCTATTTATTATTGGAATGAGAATCATTAGAGTTAATAGGAAAATACGTTAATTCCATGGTGTCATAAATGTAACTAATTCTCCTTTGATTCTCTCTTAGACATGTCTTTATTGTTGGTGATTTTAGTATCACTGAACATTTTGTGTAATTCGAACTAACATATGAGTTAATGGAACTTATTATTTGTATGCTATATTATAGGTTCGATGAATGTGGAGTGCATGCATATATAAGATCGAATTATAAGTCGGTACGACAGAAAAGCTCGTGCCTCCTTGCGAGGTCCTACAGTTAACGCCGCTAGCAGAGTCCAAGGGGCAGAGCCCCTGACGCTGGTCCCATTGACCGGTCAGCGGGCGGGGTCAAGGGGCAACGCCCCCGCAGGGTTTTGGGCAGCACCCCAAAAGGTCTTCGGAACCACACTTCAATAGATTGCATATTTTATACATCATATATTCCGTACATCATATATGTCTATATATGCATGACCCTTAAGAACCACACTTCAATAAATTGGAGCACATCCTCTGATACATCCTGAGAACCATACACCACTTCCTTCATCTATATGTTTGCACAACTTCAGGCTATTGCTTTTTCTCGGGCAATAAACTCGCCTCTTGGTCCTCCAAACATCAACACATAGTTTCTTATTCCAGTGATGAGGCTGAATATCACGAGGTTGCCAACGTTGTTAGTACTTCTACCACTCTTGTATACCACAACAACTTCAATGTCATCTACATAACCTCCAATACCCACAAAGATTGACACATTCGTATTCATCACGTGCTCTCTCGATATCAGCATCCAAACATCTTTATCAAGGGCTTAACATATCTTTTGTTCTTGGAGTTCCAATTCAAGTTTGATTGCCCGATAGCCTCCTGCTCAACCTATCGGGGCATAATAGTCTGTATATTTTGTATCTAGCCTATCTATGTTGTAGGGCCAAGCTATATTTGTACATTGTACATTGTTCTACAAGATCGCTCGAAATCATCCACGTACTTAAGCTACTGGGTATGGGTCCATAACAGGGCGTTATGGTTGATGTGACAGCCCAAAACGTCGTTATAACGCGATGAACACCAGCCCCTTGGCGTTATGGTAAGACACGTTGTAACAACCACGAAGAGCAATGATTGTTCTTCTCTCTTCATTCCTTTATTTTTCCTTTTTTCTTAGCCTTTCAACGGCGTTTTTATGGAGGAACACCATCCCTAGTTCTTCCCAACACCGTTTTCTTCTTTTTTGTCTCTGATGTGGCTTTTTAACGGAGGTGACCGTACCGAGTACTCTTACACATGCTTTATCAAACAAATATCTTCCACTTGGATTTTGTTATTTATTTTCTAATTCCTCTTCACATTCTTCACAAAACTCACCCTTTATCATGGATGGTAGTTCTAAGAAAATGTCAAGTCGCCTAAATTTTGGAAAACTAAGGTAAAACACGTTGTCATATAGATGTCATCTTTGAACATATTTGACTTTATTAACCCGAGTATTTGATAATCTAAGGTAAAACACGTTTTGTAAATATGACTTAAAAGTTCAAACATACAAAAATAAAGTTGAATAACCTTAGTAGTTAGTACAATGGTTTCTGTAAACATAATGACTTAATACATACAGAAAAGGCTAAAATCAACCTTGCATTAGGGTTTTCAATTTTTGATTCTACAAAATGTGACACACAATATTCAAAAACTAGAATGTTCATTTCGATTCTTGAATCAGATCCAAATACAAGACCTCTTCCAATATAACATTCCTTCTACAATAATACCATATTTACCCTTTCCACACCTACCCAGGGTTCTACCCAATAAACCAGTTCCAACCCTTCATGAATCAAACTACAATAACAACTAAAAACCTAACTTTAACTGCTAAACACCCGTAGTACCTGACCAAGAAATTGGTGTAGACAAATTCATGGGAGCTTCTGGAATCATACAATGTTGTTGCCACTGATTCATCTCGTTTCTTGGAATTTGTTGTGAGTTGGCATCTTCGATATCCATGGTTATGGCTTCCATATCATCTGCATCCATCATCTCAGATGCTTCATGGAGCTCCACTTCTGGGGCTCCATAGTGGTGTGAAGGCGGTGCCACCCATGGCACCACCGCTAGGCTACCTTTACTTGGCTCAGAGCCACCTTCATGTTTCTCTGTTTTGTCATCATCTGAAGATTTGATTATATATGGAGCGAAGAACTTACTTTTGTACCCTGAAAGGAAGTCTGAATTAACTGAAATGGAGAAAGGTGAGCGAGATTGGATTAAAGGAATGTTGTTCATGGGATCGTATAGAACAATAGCCCTTTCTTCATTCTCAGGAAGACTACCATTCAGCTCATTAATGGCTACCGGACTACTTGTCATTACTTGTTCCATGGATGTAGCTTGAGAGGGAACCGATTGTTCAAATACCACTGGATTCCCCATCTCTTCTTCCTCAATTATTGGAGGCAATTCAGCATCCTGAACACAATTAAAATCCTTCATTAATCGGAACTAATTTTCGCGAATCAAAGCGAGCAAAAAGTTACTAACAAAAACCACACGGAATTGCTATTTGCTAATAAAAAAAATCTAGGTTTCGCAAAGAAAATCCAGCTTTAATCAGACGGAATGTTCAAGAGAAATTTGAACGACAGCTATCACCCGAACCCTAAACCCTAGATGATCTAGATTGTGGAGAAGAATGCTACTTACAAGTAACAAATAAACAATTTTTTCATATCGTAAAGCATCACAGAACAGAAATATAAGTATATGTGTATAGTATGTATGTATGTGTGTACGCACCAGACGGCGGATTTTCCTAGCCGGAGAAGAAAGGGAGAAGTCGCAGAAGTCGTCGTTAACTTCATCTAGATCTTTCCTCTTCATCTTCACCGGAAAATAACCTTCCATCGTACAATTACGCGGTTTTTGATAAACTTTGACAGCAATTCCTACCGATTCTTTCTGCAGCTTCGATGCAAACGGTGTTGATTATACGATCAAACACAAAATTTCAGTAAAATTTGCTCTGAGTGGATGATCAGGATGATTGTTGAGCTTGTGGGTTTTAAGATTTATCCTGAAGCGACTATCGTTCTTTCTCCCTCTGGATGTCTCCAGAAACTGTGTTTGCCTTTTAAAGCAATGGATTTTTTTTACAAATTAATTTTCGTATAAAATTCACAAATCTAAATTAACGAGTTTAATTGATGGCAAAACCAAAATAACTGTGTACTTTTTATTTATTTATTTATTTATTTTTTTAATTTTATCTAAATTCACAAATCTAATAGATTTATTTTAATGTTTTAGATTTTTTAAATATTTTATTGTAGATTTATTTTAATTTTTCATTTTAGATTTTTTTTATGACAAAGTTACATTTGATAATTCTATTTAACTTCATTTATTTGATCTTTACATTATTATTAAAGTTTCACATTTTATTTTTAGATCGAAAAATATCCCAACTATTTATATTAGTATTGAGTATTGATAGGTTCAAGACTATAGAGATTAATTGGGTATCACTTAAAGAATGCCAACATGCCAATTCGGCAATTCCTATGTTCAAATTCACAAAATTTGGATCAATAATTTTAAGACATTTAACACCTTACACCATCAACATGAGGAGGCGTAAAGAAGCAATCTGTGAGTGATTACAAAATAATTAGAGAGTTTATCTTTGACATTTGGATCAATTACATACGGGTGTTGAAACTATAAGATATAAACACTATTCTAACTATCAATATACACTCTACAAATTAGAAAATTAGAAAAGCAAATTCAAACTCATGTAATGGAATAAATATATTGAAGCATGAACGATAAAATATTCAGAGTCAAAGTTTGTAGTTGTGTAACGACCGGTTTTCGTTCATGTTTAGCTAGGAATCTAAAAATAATAAGAATGAAGGTTTTTGGGAAAAACTCTTGTCACAAATTTTGTTGGTTGCGGCACAAGGTGCCACGTAGGACGCGACACAACTTTTTAAGATGTGTGGCACAACGCTGCAAAGCCAAAGCAATAGGTCTCAGTTTTTGGCCCCTATTTATGGAACATAATATATAGGGTTTTCTCTCTCATCAACCTCCACCTTCGAGAAGAGAAACCCTATCCCCCCTTGTGCATCCTTAAGTGGTTCTTGGCCTTTTGAGAGAAGTTTGGCGAAGAAGTAAGTTTGTGGGGCTTGGTGAAGTCATTTCCGGTTGAAGTTTCTGTTGGATTAAGGTGTCTAACCTCATAACTAAATTGATATATTCTTGTAATTAGAAGCAAAATTCTTTTTAGGTTGCCCCTATAGCTAGAACTTGGTTAAAGGACATTTGCAGAGAGAGAGAGAGAGAGAGAGAGAGAGAGAGGATAAATTTATTAGTTTATTATGTAATTAATATATTATAATAAGTGATTTTTTAATAAATTATATGATTAATATATTAATTGGAAATAGATAGTTAATTTGTTACTTAAAGGTGCAAGGATTGAGCTGTAATTGTTCAATAATGAAACAGATGAGAGGATCTAGAAACCTCCATCATATGGACGGTTTTGAAGACCCTATTAGGGTTTCTAGAAGCCTCCAAATGATAATGGGGAAATTAGATAATTGTCTGATTTGAAATATTATTATTATATGTTCAAATTTAGAGTTAATAGGGTTCCCTGGCAACCTATAAATAGGACCATTAGGTCAACTATTTTCGTGCACTTCTACACCTAGAGAAATCTGAATTTCTCTTGTTCTCCTCTTCTCTCCTATCTTGTCTTCTAGTTCTAGGGTTTAGGTGTGATTCATTAGAGGCATCATCATTTTGGTGCTAAGCTTTCCAAGACCAACAACTACCAGGGATTGAAGTGATTTGTTTACTACAATAAATAAAAGGTATGTAACCCTAATTCTTGTATTTTGAGTATATTAGGGTTCATCAAGTTTTGTTGTTCATTGTATGTTGCATTCAAAGTGTTAAGACATAGATCATTTGGGTTGCATGTGTCCTTAAGTGTTAAGTGAAATTTCGCAAGCACATAGTTTTGTAACCTATAAAACCCATCAGTGGTATCAGAGCATTGGTGTGTCTAACATTGAATGTACATGAGATGAATTGAACAAAATTGATTTTTGGAAAAATTTGTTGGTCACGTTGTGACACACTTGTGACATCCCCTAATTTCTCAGCCAGAAAAGACCGATTTAATTTATGCTTTTTAAAATAAAATCAGAGAAATCTTTTTAAAAGATGTTGCGGAATTGGTCCCCAAACAACATATGATAAAATTTTATCAAACCCCTTCATTAAGAAGGTATATATTTTCCATATATATCAAAACCTCGGGATGTCATGTTCCGATACAGATCAAAAGCATAAACAAGACATTATAAGTCTTACTACAGTTATTTACAACTACTGACCTATAATCCAAAAATCTCTCTTCGTCCTCCGACTATGCTCGGGGTCCACTACCTGTAACATAAAAAGTTGAGTGGGTCAGGCTTGGGAGCCTGGTGAGCATATAAGGTTTTCAACCCACAGTAATAATAAACTTATTAAGTTCACCAATCAAAAATAACCCTGATTACCCGTTCCCGTTATCCTCACTTTACGTCCCTAAACACTTTTCACAAGGGACCTAGCCTAAAGAATATCATCAGGATGGACACTACTGCTAAGGGGTTTCCTCAGCCATACATGTCCTAAAGGCAACCATGAGGGGGATGGAGTACAGCGAATAAACACCCAAGTTCATTAACACCTACAGGTTGCGGGTCTGCTAATGTTTCCCACTGGACTGTCTAGAAAGTCCGTGGTCGTCATCCAAACTCCGCTAGATGACTGAATCTCAAATCACATCGAGACCTCTCATCACTTTATTTTATCACACCCCAACTATCTACCCATGTTCTACCCAACATATTTGTAGATAAAAATACTTATACAGTTTAAAACTTGTATAAAACATCAACTGAACAGTCACCTCAAATAAACAATTAATATATTTACACATAGCACGTATTATAAGGTAAATACTTCATATCTATGTGTAAAATGAAAGTGACTATACACTCACTTGTTTTGATGATAATCGGGCAGCAATTCGTTGCCTAAAACGTTCGTTCCTAATAAAACCGGCAGTTTTATTCAGAAACCGGGCTCTGCGAGGGTCGGGCTTCGAAACCGAAAAGATAAATTTTCCGGGCTTCTCGGGCTCTTCGTGGCGTATTCCGGGGGGTTATAATCGATACCGGGGCTTTGGGGGATGTTAAGATGAAGAAAAATATGAAGAAATGGGTGAAAGATGGTGATTTTCTAAATGTATCCGAGAAAACTCGCATGACCCTTCTATTTATAGGGGGTCCGAAGTCGCTCTAAGAAGGGGGAGTCATCAGGCGAGGACACGCGGCAGCAGGGCGAGGGTGCGCAGCACATGGCTCGCATGTGCGAAGTCTCGGTGGCAGCCGCTGATTGGACCGAGGTCTAGTCCGAGACTTCGGACGTGGCCTCCTTCTGCGAGACCCGGACACGAGGAATAGGACACGCGTCGGACTCCTAGTGGACCACTTCGGATCAGCTCACGAGATCGGATGACTCAGCAGCTCGGACACGTGGCTCGCATGACTCACCAATTTCGGACACGTGGCACAATCTAAGCGAGGGTGACGTGGCAAAAACGTGACTATGCGAATTTTCTCGATTTTTGTGCAAAAACTTCTAAAATCCATAACTTTTGCATACGAGCTCCGTTTTTGACGTTCTTTATATGCACGCGTAGGTAAAATTACGCTCTACAACTTTCGTTTAGACTTCGTCGGCTAATTTTGAATTTAATTTTTATATTATTATTTTTAACAGATCGGGACAGGAAATCCGTTAAAAATTCATAACTTCTTCATCCGACGTCCGTTTTCGTCAGACTTTTTACTGTTGAGCTACTAATGACGAGAACTTCGATTCTCGTTTAGGTCGTGTCGGCTAAAAATCACTCGATCTAAAATTCGAGTTTTTAGTTGTTTACTGCTAAGCTGAAACTTCGAAAAATCATAACTTCCTCATACGAAGTCAGATTTGGGCGTTCTTTTTATACTTACTCTCGGTTTAACGAACACTACGAGTTTCGTTTAGATCACTAAGGCTAAAAAGTAGTTTATCAAAAACTCACTTTTTACGACATTCGACCCCGTGCCGGTTTGTCGCGAAACTTCGACAGGTCATAACTTCTTCGTTATAACTCGGATTTCGGCATTCTTTATATATCCGTAATCCTTGTCACGCCCATTACAAGTTTCTTAATAGATATAGGCTTTATCTAAAATTTAAATTTTGACGCTCATTTTTATTCTTAATTAATTAAACCCTAATAATTAAGCATAAAACACATAATATTCACATAATTCCTTTTCATTTCTCCAAAATGAGTCACAAAGGTTAACCTAGACTATAATGTCAATATTAATGCCTAGCCTAGAAACACGGGCATTACAATTCTCTCCCCCTTAGGATGATTCCGTCCCCGGAATCACACATCAACAACCAAATGCGGGTAGCGACTCATCATGTCACTCTTCGTTTCCCAAGTGAGATTTGGCCCATTCGTATGTTTCCAACGCACAAGCACTAAATCGACCATCTTGCGCCGCAACTTCTTAGTCTTACGGTCAACGATTGCCTCAAGTTCTTCGATCAACCTCTTGTTTTCATCCAACCTTAACTCAGAAATGGGAATTATGTCGGGCACATCTCCCGTGAACTTTCTCAAATAGCACACATGAAAGGTATTATGAATACCCTCCAGTTCTTCCGGTAATTCTAGCTTGTAAGCTTGATTCCCGATCCTCTGAATAACTTTAAATGGTCCAATAAACCTTGGACTCAACTTTCCCCTCTTACCAAATCTTATAAGTCCCTTCCACGGCGAGACTTTAAGTAAAACCGAATCTCCAACATCGAAGGATATCGGTTGTCTTTTCTTGTCAGCATAACTCTTTTGTCGATCTTGAGCAGCTAACATCCTTTCCCTTATCACTTTCAACTTTTCAGCAGTCTGATGGACTATTTCAGGTCCAATAAACTGCTTTTCCCCAGCTTCCAACCAGCATGATGGCGTTCGATACTTCTCCCCATACAAA